ACAGGTATAGCTCAAATTCATTATTGCCAATGGCTGCATAATATGATTTAGTGTGGAACAACCATCATTTATTCAGCCATTTCCAGAATCTCCATGTTGCACTCTTTCACAGCTGATGTTTTACAATCTGGTATACTGGCCATCCTCCTACTACTACACTGCCTCTTTGTCTTTAGCTCTTTTTTTAAATTTTTTCAATGTTAATTTATTTTTGAGAGACAGAGAGAGACAGTGTAAGTGGAGGAGGGGCAGAGAGAGAAAGAGAGACAGAATCCAAAGCAGGCTCCAGGCTCTGAGCTCTCAGCACAGAGTCTGATGTGGAGTTCGAACCTACGAACTGTGAGATCATGACTCAAGCCAAAGTCGGACGCTTAACTGACTGAGCCACCCATGTGCCCCTGTCTCCAGCTTTTTTGCTATCACCCAAATGGCCATAATAAACACCCTTATAAATGCTCAGTTGCCAATATGAGTGGCAACTGAGATACCAGCTTTGATGGTACCTAGTGAGGATGAAGCACCATCTTCTAGGGCAAAGTATACACTCTAAATCAATGACAGTTACATGGCACTATGCCCCCAGTAGGTGGAACACATGGATCTGGGAACCAAGGACCAGAACCAGGAGCAGCATCTTACTAACTGGGGATTTTATTCTATGGGATAAATTACTAATAGAGGGGTTGCTGTGTCAAGTATATTTATTTTTAATTTTAATTAAAATTAGATTTAGTTTAATGACAATTAAGATTGTTTTACCAAACTCCAAAGCCTACAACAATTCACATGTCCCCCATCAATGAATGAGAGTGCCTTTGCCCCACACCCTGACCAGGAAGAGGAGTTACAGATCTTTGCAATTCTGTCAACAGTATTACGTTAGTCATTTAATGTACATTTCTTGGGATATTCAGAGTTTGAGCATCTTTTCATGTTTCTTGGCCACTTGGATTTGCTCTCCTGTAAACTGCCTATTCATGCCCTGTGGCCATTCTTTTACTAAGTGATTGTCAATTTGTAAGACTTTTTGTTATATATACTTATCCTTGTCAGGGTTGGACACTTTTTCCAAATCTATAAATTTTCTACTATCTTTGTCATGATCCCTTTTGTCACACATAGGCTGCCACAAATATAGTCAATATTTCTTATCTTTCTTGTTATTTCTAAGAGTTTTGTGTTTATTTTACATTTAAATCTTTAGTACATCTGGACTTTTTATATATGGTCCAATATAGGTGTCAAACTCTATTTTCTTTCAGATGAATATCCATCCATATCAGATGAATAAATGGTTCACTACCATTGACCAAAAATATCTATTCTCTTCTGACTGAATTGGAATGCCAATTCGGCCATATATTATATTCTCATACATATTGAGGCCCATTTCTAGAATCTCCTCTCTGTTTCACTCACTTTTCTATTCCAAACAATACAATTTAATTAGAAACTCCTTTCTTTTAAAAAAATATTTTTTTTACATTTATTTTTTTTAAACTATTTTTTTAATGTTTATTTATTTTTGAGAGAGAAAGAGACACAGCATAAGCAGGGGAGGGGCAGAGAGAGAGGGAGCCACAGAATCCGAAGCAGGCTCCAAGCTCCGAGCTGTCAGCACAGAGCCTGACACAGGGCTCAAACCCACGAACTGTGAGATCATGACCTGAGCCGAAGTCGGATGCCCAACCGACTGAGCCACCCAGGTGCCCCTAGAAATTCCTTTCTTAAGGCTTTTCCTCAGAGCTATAACCTATTCTCTGAGCTATAGCTAAAGGCATTCTAAACCAGTGGGATGCTACAGGATGACAGTGGATTATCTTGAACTCAACCAATTGAGCACCAGTTGCAGCTGCTGGCCCCAATGTGGCATCCTTGCTAGAGGACAGTAAAAGCCATGCATTGTCATGGCTAATATTTTCTTTTCTATCCTGTGAGGAAGAAGTACCAGAAAAAGTTCCCATTCATACTGGGAAGACAAAAGTATATATTTAGCATCTTGCCCCAGGGCAATGGTAACTCTCCCACCCTCTGACATATTTTATGAAAGGACCTGAACACTCTGGACATTTCTCAAAACAAAACATGGGACCAGTACATCAATAACACTTACAAAAATGTTAATTGGACATAAAAAGCAAGAAAAGGCAAGTACATTAAAGACCCTGATAGGATACATGCCTTCCAGAGGGTAGGAATAAACCTGATGAAGATTCAGGAAACTACCACATTAATGAAATATCTCGGGTGTGCTGAAACAAACTCCCTACCCCAGAGTAGGTCTGACATCTGGCATCTCTCACCTCTAAGAAGAAAGGACAATGCCTTTGGGTTCGGAAGAAAGCATATTCCACACTTGAGAATACTGCTTTACATTCAATCTACAAATGACATGGAAGGCTGCCAACTATGAGTTGAGATTTTGGATTTTAGAAGCAGATCTCCCAAGCAGCTGAGCTTAAGGGAATACGGAAGAAGGAGCATGTCTGTGTTCCAGTATAGCCATTCCAAGGCAAATATTTGTTAAATTACTTAAGTCCTCTGGTTAGTTTTCTCCATGGTGAATTAAAAATTTTTATGCTTTGCATGAGATCACTCACATCTTCTTGGTTCTCAAAATCTGAGTTGACGATGATGATGATAATGATGACAACAATGATGATGATGAAAACTTTCTATAAGTATCTGCAGTAAAACCTTACCTCTCTCATTACTTCCCTGTGGTAGGCAGGATTCTAAAACAGTCCACAAGATGTGGACTCCCTGGTGTACAAGCTCTGTTATAATCCTTTCTCCTTACATGTGGGTAGGACCTGTGAATGTGATAAGATCTTCTCTCTCATGACTACATTATGTTATATAAGACTTCATGAATATTATAGGAACTCTCCTGATGGTCTTGAGGAAGCAGACTGCCACGTTATGGAGAAGACCATGTGGCAGGGAACTGGCGGTGAGCTTTCAGGAGCTAAGGACCTCCTATCATACAAGCACAAGGAAATAAATTCTCTCAACAACCAGTGAGCTTGGAAAAGGCTCCAGAGCCTCAGGTGAGATCACAGCTCTGGCCAACACCTTGATTTCAGCCTGAAGAGACCCTAAGCAGAAGACCCAACCAACCCATTTCCAGCCTCCTGTCCCACAGAAACTATGAGATACATTCACTATGGTGATTTGTTAGGAAGAATAAACAACTAATATAACCCCTTCACCCAGCTCTCCCTTATTCTTTTTCCATAAATTCCAGTTTCTCCATCACCAAGACACCCAAGTAATTTTTCTTGGGTCATTCGCCAATTTTTTCCCCAGATGATGGCTTTAAAAATATGTTAAGGGGGCGCCTGGGTGGCGCAGTCGGTTAAGCGTCCGACTTCAGCCAGGTCACGATCTCGCGGTCCATGAGTTTGAGCCCCGCGTCGGGCTCTGGGCTGATGGCTCAGAGCCTGGAGCCTGTTTCCGATTCTGTGTCTCCCTCTCTCTCTGCCCCTCGCCCGTTCATGCTCTGTCTCTCTCTGTCCCAAAAATAAATAAAAACGTTGAAAAAAAAATTTAAAAAAAATATGTTAAGAATAAGCATTGATGCTTCTAACATTACAAAAGCATACAAATTGAAATGACTTAAAAAATCTAGAAAAACAGATTGCCAGTATTTAAACATGGACAGCAATGGGGCTGAATGTTTTCAGAGAAACACATTTGAGCCTTTATGTTTTATTTATGTCTGTTCGCCCAGATATAATTTAAATTATTAAAATGTTTTTCAGTTAACTCATGAAATTTCATAACACTTGTCTTTGACCTATTTGTACATTATGAGAGATACATTGCTTTTCATTTTCCAAAATGCATTGTTGAATTGCCTTTGTAAAAAATATCCTTATTTTTAAGGGGGTGGGGTGAATATGCTTACCTGTACAACAGGTACCAAAACAACATTGTGGTAGATTATAGGAGCAAGGAGGCCATAACACTGAGTCACAGCTTGAAGGGCATAACTGGAATCATTTAGGTAGTTGCTAAGGTCCAATGCCACTAATATTCTCTCACATTCAATTAATCTAGCAATCTGTAAAGAAACAGGTATTGTTACCGGAAAGGAACATCAGGTGCTTAATTAATGTGCCTCTAAGGAGAAGAAAGGGTAGGAAATGTGATCCTGCCGGTTTAACAACACATTGGTATGTTGAAATGCTGGTATGAAGAAAATCTAAACTCAAGAACAACTCTAATTTCCCAATAATGCTACATATGGATAATACCATCTTAGAATTAAACTTTAGAATATTTTGTAAAACAATAGAAATACCACTAGTAATGAAAAAGGAACTAATCTTTTTTAATTGGTAAAATTAAAACGTGGCTATATTTTAATGTTAGAAAAAATCTAGCTTTTTCAAAACATAAAGTATAACAAATAATAATTAAAATATTATATCTCTGTAATATTGTCCCTCACTTGATTAACAGTCCCATTTTCTTTCTGGATTTGTGAAAAAAAAAATGATGAATCTTCAATAGACCAAACTAATCTTCTATTATACTTGTGCTACTTAAATAAAAATGGTAGTGAAATAGAAAGTTAGGCTTTTGTGATTAAATGTTACTTAAAAATAATAAGAATCTTATCTTACTTTTCCTTTCCCTTTCCTGGAGGAAGATTTCATTATTTTTCTATATATACCTATAAAATAACATACACAGAAAACCGGCATTGAGAAATTTCCATAGAGTAAGTTATTACTAGAATGGTAGTCTAGCATTCTGGAATTCATTGATTGAAGTACTTAAAGCCTGACTTCATTTTCAGACTGGATGCTGAAAGAAGAAACTAAGGGCAACACATAAAGAACAGGATGATGGTTATGAGTGCTTGGGCTCTGTAAGACCATGAACTTTCCCTGGACAAAAGCGTCATGTTTTTTTCATTTTTGGATCCATAGACACTGCCATGGTCTCATGTAACAATTTATTGGTTGATTAACTAATGAATAAATGCAAGGGTAGGAAAAAGCAACTGTGAAAAACAAACACACGGGAAAAGCCTCTATGTAGCTAAAGTGAGTAAAGAAGGAAAGAGGGAGAGGGACAAAGAGTGACACTCAATCTAGAATGGAAAAAATAGCAAAGGATTGTTATTAAAAGCAAGAGCATTATAAGATTGCAAAGGTACACACAGCAATGCTGATAACCACCCTGAGAATCCATCAGTAGAATATGGGTTACATTCCTGCCTCTGTACAGGAATGCAATATAAAAATTAAAAAGAATTTGGTATGGAAACATAGGGTCATTGATATTCTTCACCCCAGAAAGGCAACAGTACCTGAGATAGAAATTCAGGAAAAACAAGCCAAAGTGGACAAGATCACACCAGATGCTATCTTTGTATTTGGATTCAGAACCCATTTTGGTGGTGGCGAGACAACTGGCTTAAGCATAATTTATTGTTCCTTGGATGATGCACAGAAAAATGAACCCAGGCATAGACTTGCAAGACATGGCCTGTATGAGAAGAAACAGACCTCCAGAAAACAGGGAAAGGACCATAAGAACAGAATGAAGAAGTCAGGGGGACTGCAGAAGCCAAGGTTGGTGCAAGCAACAAGTGAGCCAGAGATTGGACAACAGAAGGAATAAAGGTTCCACAGTGACTTTATCTGTGGTGATTGTGCAGATTTTTCATGAGAGGATTAATAAACTAAGAACTTAAAAAAATAAGGGGTGCCTGGCTGGCTCAGTCGGTTAAGCATCTGACTTCGGCTCAGGTTGTGATCTCACAGTTTGTGGGTTCGAGCCCCACATCAGGCTCTGTGCTGACAGCTCAGAGCCTGGAGCCTGATTTGGATTCTGTGTCTCCCTCTCTCTCTGCCCCTCTCCAGCTCGCACTCTGTCTCTCTCTCTCTCTCTCTCAAAAATAAATAAACATTAAAAAAATTTTTTTAAAAAAAGAATTTAAAAAATAAGAATTTGGTAAATTGATATGTACCTGCATGAAAACATGTATAAGATAAATTATTAAAAATGTTAAGTAGGCAAATTATGGAATAGCAAGTAGATTGTGAAAGCATTTTTGTAAAAAAAATTTTTTAAATAATAATTTGCCTATGCATATTTTTATAAATCAGATATCATAAAAAAAAACAGAGAAAACAAACTCATAGTATTTTTAGGAGCAATAAAATTACAATAGATTTCACTTTATACCTTATCATTTTTTGAATATTTGAAATTTATACTACTTTTACAGAGACAAAAAAGATCAATTGAAAAGAAGAAAAATATATATGAACTCGGGCCTATGAAACCTATTTGGAATATCAAATAAACCTGCACAATCATAAAATGATCTCTCAGTCTATCCACAAATCAGGATACACAATCCCGAAAGAACTTGAAACATCAAGAAACAAATAAAGGGAAATTGGCACATTTTCAGTCCCTTTAATTCACTTACTTGTTGAGAGGGGAAAATCTCATTGCCTTTAATATTATCACAGAAAAGATTTTCTTCTTTAATTTTAATGTCACTTGTTACAAAAATATTTCTAAGGAAAAGGTATAAGAGGATTGAAGAAGTCTCTGCCAAAATATCTGAATGTAATCTGCAAAAGGAAGTAAATGCTGTCACAGGCATAAACATAAAATGATCATGTAAACATGCATTTTTAGATTGATAGGTTCTTAATATCTACACAATAACAGCAAAAATCTGTGGAACAACTTCTCTCATACAGCTGTTTAAAATTAAAGACTATGTTTAACAACAAGTTCACAGCTAAGAAAACTAAGGTGCTGACATATATCAGAGACAAATAAAAATAAATATTGGCAAAATTTTCTGGTTCTATTATGTAAACTTCTTTTCTATCAATATAATTAAATCACTATAGATCTTCAGAAGCATAATATTTCAATTAATAAAGTTTCTGAAAATAAGGGTCATTTATAGCAAAATCAGCCATGGGTAAAGAGGAAAGGAGAAAGATTGAGGCAGAGAGAAAAGGAAGAAAGGAGGCAGAGTCTTAATAACTCTTAGATTATTTCTAATTATCTTTCCTAAATTGCAGTCAACAGTGCCAAACATTGGCAAAACTGTGAAATCTGCAGTCTTCAACTTTGTTTCCAATATTCCCTTCCTTGTTCTCAGCCTTACTTGGTGACGAACCCTCCCTTCTAAGTTTCAGGTCCCTCCGCCCTCCCCACCCTCTATCTCTAAAAAACAGGAAAGGATCTGACATCAGTAATTCATACTTGAAGATGATCTGTTTTACCACCATGTTAAATGCTGAAATTATATTTGCTAGGAGAATTTTAGTTCTTCCGTTCCTGCAACCCACACTGAACTCTTTCTTTGTCCACATGACATGTGCAATGCGTCCAGGCTATTGCCTTCTCCTGGTTCTGTCTCCTTCCCTATCCAGCTCAGACCTCTCTAACACTTTAGATTTTACACCCCTTATTTTATGCCATAATCAGTGTGCCTGACCTTGCATAGACGTCACTTTCCAATTTTTCTGGTAACCTCTGATAACCTCTGGTTATCCTTAATGTCTCCTTGTTCATATTCCTGAGAGCAGATGTTCTAAACCCCCTGTTCTCCACCCCATGAGCTCCTATACCCTCCAGGCTCTACCACCATGATGTCATTATCATGTGAATTTGTTTGTTTCTCCCCCTGCACTGTCTCCACTTCCTCCACTCTTCAAAATGTTTTCCTTAAGCCTGCCTTCCCCCTCATTGTTCTGCCATTGTCCTCTTCTCTTTACACCAACTTCACATCAGTGACCTTAGCTAATTACAATTCTCCATTTCCATTTACTTCTTACCCAACTGCAAAAGGTTTCTGGCCCATCACACCACAAAACTAGCTCTCTTGAACTCATCAACGGCCTCCTAATTGCCAATTCTAAAAGTCACCTCTTGGGGCACCCGGGCAGCTCAGTTGGTTCAACATCTGACTCTTGATTTTGGCTCAGTTCATGATCCCAGGGTTGTAGGATTGAGCCCTGTGTCGCTGAGCATGAAGCCTGCTTAAGATTCTCTATTTCCCTCTGCCCCTCTCCCCAGCTCGCTCTCTCTCTCTCTCTCTCTCTCTCTCTCTCTCAAAATATAGGGGGGAAAGCTTCCTCTTAGTTTTTATTCTATCCAACTTCTCCGTAGCACTTCTTTTTGAACAACTCCTCTGCCTGACCCTGCACTAGCATTTAACACTGCTGACCAGTCCTCCCGGGTGATATTCTCACTTTCCTTGGCAATGTACTTTTCCAGAGTTTCACCTCCTGGACTGTTCCTTTTTGTCAAAAAAGTTCTGACAGTTGGGTTTTCTTAATGTATTTATTTTTGTAATGTAAGGGTCTGCCTTAAGCTTTGATTGCCAAAGCATCCACTTCAAAGAGGCATTTACTTCAAAGATGGCTATCTCGAATAAATACATTGCCAGTCACACAACTAGCTAAAGAGCCAGGCCACCTCCCTCACTGAGGCTCCTCTGTTTTAGAAATCTTAGTGGATTTTGATAAATGACAATTTGGGCCACTGTTTTTTCTCTTCCCTTGTTTTAAATTCCCACTCTTACTTTTTAAATTCAACAACAAAGAGTGAGCCCATGAAACCCTAGGCACCCACCCTGGACCTCAATAAAAGCAGAACCCCAGGCCCATGCTGGCTCTCTCTCTTCACCTATGAACTTGCTGTGGGGCCCCAAGTATGCCATGTAATTTCCAGATCCTGTAAGTAATAAACCTCTATTTTTTTTTTCAAACTTTCTGGATGTTTATTGCTGAAGGGTGCCTCACAATCATAATAAGAACCATAAAGGCTGGTTCAGATACAACACTGACTACTGGTAGGCTGAGACGAGCACAAACTATTTTCAGTATCCTTCCTTGGTTCCATTTCCTGCTTCAGCCTCTTAAACGTAAGTAATGCCCAGCATTTAATTCCAGCTTCTATCTTTTCTGCTAAACAGTTAGTCCCTGGGAGATAGCTCTCATTGTCAAAATTTCAATGATGACCTCATGGACAATTTCTCAATCTATCTCTAGCCTTGACCTCTCTCCTGAGTGTCAGCACTAAATATTCAACTACCTGCTGGGCATCTCATATCCACAAAGGCAACCTGTTGGAAAACTAAACTCAAAATATTTCCTGTCGAATTCATTATCTCCTCCAAAGACTTATCCCACCTCTCTCATTCCCCTAGTACCCATCATAGGTCTGCCAGTCAGGTAACAACGGCAATCCCAGTAAGCTTCACTACTTCCATTCTCTTGTCCCCACATCACATAAAACCTTCCAAGCCCCGTCTCTTCCTCTTCTGAAATGCCTCTCAAATCTATCCTACACAACACCTAGCATCCTTGTACATGGTAAATGCTAAGTCTACAGTTGTTTCATTGAATGGAATTCTACTTTTACGTGAATAAGCACTATCAATGCCTTGCCTCCACCAGCATGTGCATTTAAGGTCACTATCTTTAACTGATGAATAAAGGGTTTTGTCTTCTTAGGAAAGGAATTTCAGGTATTATTAACAAGTAGGTAAAGGAGATTGTTGTTTTTGAACTTGTTGTTGAGACAGCCTAAAATCACACCAATGCTCATTTCTGAGGCTGCTCTTAATCTTTGCTCTTTTAAGAAAAAGCAACTATAAAGCAAAGGATGGCCTGTGGTTTTATATGACCCATACCAACCTATTTGCAGTTCCTGATGGTCTAATCCTGGGAGCTTCTTCAAGCAAAGAAAAAGTCTTTTAAACCTAATAGTCCACCCATCACACCATAACTATTAACCCCAACCTGACCGCTCTCTGTTATAAAAGTCCCCAAAGCATATTTGTGTTTTACAGTATAACTGACGTTATCTTGATTAGTAGTTGGTATTTTTTTTTTCTATAGCCCTCATTACCTTAACTTCAGAATGCATCTAAATGTCTCCTGTGCTTTTTCTTATTCTACCAAAGAAGTTTCTAACAAGGACTCAAGAACTTGGGATGTGTATGCTTATTACAACACCTATTAAAAATAGCTTTACATTGACTATCTTAACATGAAATTGAAAATGAATTATAGGCTTTGTATACAACATCCATATTTTTCAATAAGCAAATTAATATTTTAAAAGAATATTTCTAATTACCTTCTCTGTGTAATAGTCATTATATTGCTTAAGCAAATAACAGATTGTTCATCATGATGTGGTGAAGCAACAAAATAATCCCAAACTGGTGAGAAAACCTTCTTAGCCAACTCATAGTTACCAATCTGATAGGCAACCTACAAGAAAAAGTACATTATCATACATTATATTTTTATTGGTAAAATGTATCTTTTAAACAGGAATTCTGATAAGGTCTGTTCACACACTAATTTCATACATAGTTGTTCACATTTGCTGTTTTGTTCCACGGGGCCACAGTAAGGTATCGATGGCCACTGGCAAGGGAGACAGACACATTTTGAAATCTCTTTTATTTCTAAATTGCATGGAAATTTGAAACTCTGTAAGGATGTTTCAAATTCTCATAAGCAAAACAAAGATCACATCTGAGCCAAATTAATTTCATTTCCATCCATCTCGGCAGTGCACTCCATTTATTACAGACACTGTTATAATGAACAATCTGTTCCAAGAGAAACAATCAGATTTCCCAAACCCAAAATATGAA